GAGACATACTCACGAACGTCTCTTTTCATGCCTCTCCACCAGTACTGTCTTTTCAAGTCCTGGTACATCTTGGTACTACCCGGATGAATGGAGTACCTCAATTTGTGAGCTTCATGCAGAATCGCTTTCTTTACCTCACCCACCTTAGGAATAGCAAGGCGGTTGCGGAAATACAAGGCTCCATCCTCCTAGATTCTCCAATCCTCAAATTGTTCTCCATTCTGGATTCGAATCCAAATTCCTTGGAGGTGTGGATCCTGCCATTGATTCTGCTTAACTTGTTGCACAATGTCCAGTGTAGAGACCAGATTATACACCATAGCCTGGTTATAATCTTCGTAGAACTGAAGATCATACTCACTCACCACTTCAGTCCTTCTCCAATCTTCCAAAGCTAATGATGCCAAAGTCCCCGTCGACTTCCTGCTAAGGGCATCAGCCACCACATTAGCTTTTCCAGGATGATATTGCAGAGTGAAGTCATAATCTTCCATGTACTCCACCCATCTCCTTTGCCTGAGATTCAAGTCTTCCTGAGTAAACAAGTACTTCAGACTTTTATGGTCAGAGAAGACCTGAAACTTTGCTCCATAGAGATAACACCTCCATATCTTCAGAGCAAATATCACAATCATGAGTGGGGTAATTCCGTTCATTTGGTCTTAATTGGCGAGATGCGTACGCTACCACGCGTCTGTCTTGCATTAAGACACAACCAAGCCCACTTCCCGAGGCGTCAGAATACACCTCATATGGTTCTTCGCTATCAGGAATAGTCAAGACTGGTGCACTTGTCAGTCTGACCTTCAGCTCCTGAAAAGCATTTTCACACTCAGCGTCCCACTGGAACTTGACTTCTTTCTTGGTCAACCGAGTCATTGGTGCAGCGATGCTCAAGAAGTCTTTCACGAAACGCCGATAGTACCCTGCAAGTCCGAGGAAACTATGAATCTCCGCTACATTCTTCGGTCTTTCCCACTGGAGCACAGTCTCGATCTTGGAAGGATCGACATAAATTCCTTGTCTAGAAATCACATGCCCAAGGAACTTCACTTCTGTCAACCAGAAGTCACAC